TTATTAAAACAGTGCCCATATTGATCATCACATCACAAACACATTAAAGACAACTATCAACATATAACAAATATTAGTAGATAATACTAAAATACTTTATAACACTCACTGTAAAGAAAGACTAAAAAATTTATTTTTGCTGTTTCTAAAACAGCTACAGTTGTGAAACTAAAAAAGGATAGCAATAAACAAATCATCCACAAAACCCAAATCCACTTGTAACTGTGGAACAAAGCATGAATATCCTTTAAACAGCAACTGCTTGAAGAACAATATACAAAGCCATTGTAAATACAGCAGATAATGAAGAAAAATCTAAGAGTAAGTGAAGGACATTGGAAACAGATTCTTGTTTTCCTGTCAACTACGATCTTCATCTTCTGCTTTCCTGAATCCTGTTCTTTTTTATTGTCCTTTCTTCTCAATGTTTTTTCAGTTTCTTTTACCCCTTGCATTTTAGTTGTCTTCTTTGAGGTAAAATGATTAATGAAAAAAAAAATCATCCATTCTATGAAACTGTCATAATGAAACCAAATGTGTCCACAGTAATTTTCACAAGAATGTAATATAACCCACAGGGTAGATTGTCAGTGGAATGAGCGTTGAAAAAAATAATAAAAGAAATTACACCTCGACTTCCATTTTTAAATGGAATCCATGTACAAGCATCAGTATTATGTTTACCCAAAAGATCAAAGGTAAATGTTGGCAGTGAAACATTAGACTGTCAATCTTTCTACTATTAATCTATCATTTTTTTTTGTTACAAACAGCCACTGAGTAGTAATCTGGCAAAATGGTGTATGTCATGAAAGTGTGAAGTAGATTTGTATCATTGTATTACTCCATTTGGCAAAAGTGCACCTACTGACGTTCATCAACATTTACAGAGACCAAATAGTGAATGTGAGCACAGTTAGGTGATGAATAAAGTATTTCACTAGTGACAATAGTGGCACCTCTAGCAATCTACCTTTAGACCAATGAAAGACAATGTAAACAATTTTTGGGCAATGTCTGTTGCAGTTTTTTTGTGTATATATGTCTACTAGTGAGCTAGCCTAAATGAGTTGACTCACTTTATAGTCCACCAATAGAAGGTTAACCAATCAGAAGACGTAAAATATTCAATCCGTCGTGTATAAAGGCGGCCATTTTGTTTACTCTATCCGAATGTCCAGTGCCAGCTTGTCAGGCGAAGAGGAAAAGAAGGACGAACTACGCTCTGCTACTTTACCGGGATATCCACTGCTAACCTGAACTACGCTTCCCTACTGTCTTCGAAATATTCACTGCTAACCTCTGGATTCTATACTCAAAGACGACCGTCATCATGAACAACAATGTTGTCGTCATTGATGTAAAAAAATTGGAAAATAAGTGCTTTGTAATGGAAAAAAAATTTGGTTATTCCAGTGGTGCTGTTATGTTTCCTGTAACATTTGGACTTTGTGTAGAAACAAACCTTTGGCTTTTAATGCATATCATAAACTGTAACCCCCCACTATGTCCTCTTGTTTAGTATACACTTGAAATAATTAGTTCCCTGCATTTATGAAAAAAATATGAATTAGTTGGTAAATTCTTTGCATTATTTTACCAAGAGAAAAATCTAAAGATCAATACAAACAGCAAACAAGATCTCGTGCCAAAGACAGAGAGAATGGCTGGAACTTATAAAATATGAAACACATTCCAATAACAAATAAATACAATCACTGGTCTTTGTAATTCTGTTGTTGCAGGCAAAGCAAAAACTAACAGAATCTAAAAATGTGTGCAAAAAAATATTATGGAAGGTGTGATGTGAAATAATCTGATTAGTTTCCAACCTATGATAGATTCTAGTTGCCAACAAATCTACACTTTAAAAGATTTCATAAATGAATGAATGACTATCAGGTCAGAAGAGCATTCAAGCTAAACGAATTAAACTATATCAGATTTTATTGTGTAAATTGTTCTAATAATTTCTTTTCTTTGACTTCTCGCCTGTGGAATTTTCTTTCTGTTTCTTGCTTCCCTGTCACTTATGACCTTCAAAAATTGAAATGTAATGTCAATTGCCATCTTCTGTCTTTCTGAATCCTGTTCTTTTTTTTTTTTTTTTTTGTCCTTTCTCCTCACTAAAGTTATAAAATTATTCCTGTAAATAAACAATCTAATAAATAGTGTTTAATATTTTTGTTGTAAATTCTTAACGAAAAAAGAAGATTTATGAATTCACTTTCATCATATGTTTAGGTCTTATTCCAATTTCAATCATTGCTTTTTAAATCAATAAACATTGCCAAGGAAGGAAAGTAGTTAAAATGATAGTAGTGTCAAGGGAAAAACCACCCTTTTGACACACATTTTTTTTTTTTGCTCAAAAATCTTCATTAGCAAGACTAAAGATGATTCATATTAACCTTTACCCTGCTAATTTCTTTCTGTATTTTTTTGAAGGTGCAAAAACACGAACACCTACCGTTTTAAAATTGTTGTATCTTTCTGCGTATAGTTTTAATTTTTGTACACTAATAAAGGAATGAATGAGTAATATTTTGATGCAATGCATTACGTTTTGCATGCATGTTTTGATGTTGAAAGCAAAAAAATTGAAACGCAAAATAAAAACAAATACATTAAAAATATATAAATAATTTAACATTAAATTTTATTACTCCTTGTGGAGTTCTGGGGGGGTGCAATTATAAAGCTTTTACTTCATCAAAAAAGTGACATCTTTCTTCATGTTTACATACAAGATGACACTAGCATTTGTTTACTCTTTTTACCACCTGACTCATGTTTGTCTTGTTGACAAATAAAGTTATTATTTAATTGTTTATAAATGGACAAAATAATTCATGCTGTTCCCAAATTTCAGGTGGAGTAAATTGCACCATGGTGGTCTTTTACTGACATATGATACCCAACTGACCCTACTATACTGTGCGGTCAAAAACAAACGATGGGCATGTGCAAAATTAAAAATATAATATGGTGACAATTTACACCCTGTATATGTGGGTGTGTGTGTGTATATATATATATATATATATATATATATATATAGAGGAAGCATGGTGGAGTAATGGATAGCAGCTTGGATTGAGGAATCACAGAGCCAAGTTCGAATTCCAGTCGAATCCATTACATTCACTTACGTGCTAATACCCTTGGGAAAGTTGTGAATCCTCTTCTTCTCCCCCCAGCTATGGGTAAATAGCAGGATAGACTGGGTTCTATAACCTTGGATGGCAACTGGTCTAGGAGAAGTGCAAATCTGAATTCAAAACCTGCAGAGTGTCGTTTGGGGACCTTGTGGCACTTAGTGCACCAGGTCTCTGAATTCGGCGCTTCAAAAAGTGTGGCTGGTCCTGCATGAAACCTTCACCAATATAATCAAATCTTATGGGCTGTTGTTTGGGCTGTCGGTTTCCTGGAAACTGATCTGCTTGACCCTCATATGTCGAACTCAACAGGAGAGTCGACTATATATATATATATATATATATATATATATATAATGTAGACCTGTTTAGCAGGTGTAATATTGGAGGAATCAAGACTTTTCTCGTACAGTCTCAGTTACAGTGGACTGGTCATGTCTTGAGAATATCTAATGACAGGATACCCAAGATCCTAATGTACAGCCAGTTAGATCAGGACTACAGGAATGTAGGATGCCCATGGCTAAGATACAAAAACAAGCTGAAAAGCAACTTGTCAGCTGTCAATATACCACATAACACCCTTGAGCATTTAGCCTTGGAGATCAACGTGTTTTAGTGGATTCGGTAGTTTTCAATCTGCTTGTCTGAATCATCTTCAAGAAGTGAGAGCAAGATCTAAAAGGTCAGCCAATCTATCAGTGACCTCATCTTACAATCCTCATTCTTCCTCCATATCTGGCCTTCTCTGTAAATCACTAGTAGGTCTTAAGTGCCACTTAAGATTATTGCACAAAATTTCATAACTGAAACAATTAAACTGTCAGATCCTCATACATCAAAACTGACGGGAGAGTCCCTTATTATTATAATTATATATATATGAAAAAGTTTTTTATGAAAGATGTTTGAAAAATTTTGTTTTGGTTTGATTTTTCAATAAAGCATATCGTTATAAAGTTAGATTCATGAATAATGGATCTGTAGAAAAATGGGAACGTAATGTAGTTTTTAAACGTGTGTTCATTAGAAGGACAACTCTGAATTCAAAACCTGCAGAGTGTTGTTTGGAGTCCTTGTGGTATAATGTGCACCAATTCTCTGTATTGTGCTTTCCCCAAAAAATGTGGTTGGTTCTTCATAAGCCTTCACCACTAATATATATATAGTCATCCACATACAAGCCTGTTTTGCTGTATCACAGCTTATCAGTGTGGCTAAACGTCCGACTGCTTCAAGCCAGGATCAAAACCTAACTGATTTGGCATCATTCAGAGATCCTACCCCTAAGCTATTGCTGCATGGTAGAGAAAGGGAAATTTTAACGTATTATATATGGGTGTATACAAATGCTAGCAATCAGTGGGCCCAATTCATTAATGAAGAGCGGTACATGCACACAGACATATTTTTGTTTCTCCTTGACATATAGTTACTTAGTTTGGTACAAGGACAATTTGGAGGAATGGCAGAAAAAAAAGAATGTGTTGCAGCAATTTTCAAAGTTGGAATCATATTTTTACTTTGAAATTGTTATTCAAAATCATGATCTTTACTTGAACACTGATAACTGGCACTGTTGAAAAGAGAACAACTCACTCAGCCACCAAACAGACATTATGGTTGTTGTGTGTGACATCCCAGAAAGTCTCATCTTGGGACTCATTTCTGTTGCCTCTGTCTTTTGACCAAAGAGATGTTTGCAGGTGTCACACTTTATAGAAAAGAAAGTGACGACACAGTTGAATTATTTAATCTTCTTCAGTAACAAATATAAAGAATAAAAGTTTTAACTATATGAAGTTTGAAAAATGAAATAAATTATTATTTTTCTAATTACAGCAAATTGAGCCAATCCCGACTTTAATAATGAAGGAAAAACTTGATGAAGATGAGGTTATGGAATGTCGCAAAGCAATTTTTAACATCTTGGGAATGGAGAGCCGAAATGAAGCCTTCCCTACAACAGTGACTGGTTCCAGAGGAAAAGGACCCAAAAGGTCAGTTGGAAAATAGTTTATTTACATTTTAAATTGAACAGAATGCCACTTTCATCACAAAAAATAGACAGTAGATTATATTTGATTATATCATTCAGTCTTAAAGAAGACAATTTTATTATCAGACTTCTTATTGACAAGGAACTACAGAATTACTAACAACTTTATTAAATAACAAATCCTACATTACATGAAGACACTGAAATAGAAACAACAAAAAAAAGCCTATGTAACTAGAAGAGAAAATAATGATATAATCAAGATGTTACCTTTCCACACTACCTTAAACAAAAGGTTAGGAAAGAAACTCCCGTCAGTATTAGAAAGAACTATAATAACTTACATTATCTGGACTATTATCCTCATCGCCATATTCACAACATTTTGGCCATTGTACACTTTCTCCAGGTGATTGGTATTTTGAACTGAACCCTTTATTAGCTTGTTCTAGTTCCATATGCCATGCCTCTTCCAGATGTCTCAGTTATTTCCCTTTAACTCAGTTCTCCAAATTTTTGGTTCACCACTGCAGCCTGGTATTGAACTCACAACTCTTTGGGTCTAGTCACTGGATCTAACCAACACCTTTATCCACTTGGCCATGTAGCTAGTGGACTTGAAAAACATATTTTCCTGCTTTAAGAAAAATATTTTATAAATTTCAAGTGGAAGTAATGCTAACTGTTCAATCAATTAATGCCGAATATTTCCTGTCTGGAAATGGTTAATCTCACCATGACCATAATACTAAAGTCAGGATAAAAGAACAGAATTTTACAAGTACAATATCATACCACTGATCAGTCATAGTTAAAATTTAATTGCTTTTCACCATCTTTACATTTGAAACATTTCATATTTGTTTGGAAATACATCCATAAAAAAAAAAAAAAAATTTTTTTTAATACCATTTGCATCTGCCAATGATTCTCTGTCAAGCTGACATTTAATTTTGTGGATGTTTTACAGCACTTTGTATCATGTTTTATGATGCAATCTTTCTTGCATATGATGACTTTTTTTTCTTTGTGCATAATGATGTGTGAACAAAAAACTGTTTGTTTACACATCTGTGAATTATCAAGAAGCCTGTAAAAGAAAATTGGTAGACTGTTTTTTTTTTTTTTTTTTTTTTTGAATTTCCACCAGAAAGTAATTTGTTTTTTCTGTTTTTGTTGTATGTATTTTTCCCATGGAATTATTGCTTTGTTGTTTTTACATTTTATTGAATTTTTTTTGTTCATATTTATTTATTTCTTTCATTTCTGTGGGGTTTTTTGATAAACAAACTGCATTCAAACAGAAAGTTCTACCTTCTCTCTTTGTTATCACTTGATGTGGATTCTTGCAAAACAATTTTTTCTTTGCTCTTTTGATTTGTCAGCCAATTCTTTTCAGACTTGAATGAAATGTTACTTTCGAAGCCTTTGTTTCTGCAGTTCGAAGTTTAATCCTTATGCCAGGCAGTTCATATTTGATTGCACATGAAGAATAAGATTATAGAAATTGCATGAAAATAAGAAAAATGATCCTTGTGCTCAGTTGTCAAGAACATTATATATATACACATCTGATTATCTCCCAATAAGAATTTTTTGTCTTCTTAGCCCCAAAGTTATCAGATCTGTTATCTTCTCTTTTGGAATATCTACTCTACATTACTTATTATTGTAATTTATAAATAATTTTATGTGTAAGCAAACATTTATTTCTCTTAATCCACAATATATCATAATATTTATAGCTCAAATTTTACTTAGTAACAGGAATAGAAATTATGCAAAATAAGACAAAATTATTTGTACAGTAAAAAACAGTGCTATTTCAAATTGGTCAGCTATCCCTAGATCTATGGTACAGTCCATTATAAAAAAGTTTAAACTGTTTGACATGACAAAGAATTTGCCTAGGCATGGAAGAAAAGCCAAATTTTCACTGAGAACTGCACAAAAACTATGTCACAATGTTAACATAAACCAAAGAGTTGTTTTGAAAGACATTGCCAAGAGTTTGGATATGATGAGTATCAACGTAAGTACTCGTACAATACAACATTGTTTAAATAGAATAGGTTGTATAGAAACTGATTATGACGAACTCCTCTTCAAAAACCATGTCATATTGTTGTTCGATTTAATTTTGCCAAAACGTTCTTGGACAAATAAAATTACTTTTGGGAACAAGTACTATGGAGCGATGAAACAAAAAATTGAACTTTTTTTTAATGATGTACAGAATATTTGGCACAAGAAAGGTGAGGCTTTCCTCTCAAGGAACATAGTGGAAACATTAAAACATTGAGGCAGCTTGATGATGTTTTGATAGGTACCCCCACGAGATCACTAAAAAAGAGCATAGCATGATGAAAAAGACGCCATACATGACAAAAACAAAATTTTATCGTCTAAATGTTTATGTTATTATTAAGAGGAAAGATCAAAGTATAAAAGCAAATAAAAGCAGTTGAAATTAAATAATATCTTTGTTTTATTGAGTTTTGTATGTTACAATACAGAGCTGATTTTTAGATGGGGGTCCAATTAAAAACAAAAAAAACATGATTTACATTCCTCAAAGCCTCGTAACCACTAAAGTAGACTTCATCGACTTTCTAGAGTTTTCATAAAATTAGTTTATTTAATAAATATAAAAAAAATATTCCTGTCATGACTTTAATAAAAAAAAAACATATTTATAATAATTTCGATCATCTGTGAATAGTTTCTGAAAGTTTCATTAACATTTGACAATTATTTTTATTTTTGCAAGATTTTCCAAATTAATGTGTGTCATACAAAAAAAACGTGCTAAAAATTGTATATGTTATTTTACTAGTTCTGCTGATACAAAGAGAAACAAGGTTTTTTTACTATAAATTTAGAATGTTCTAAAAAGAAGGAAAAATTTTTTAAAATAATTAAAATAAACTTTGGTCTTTTCTCTTCATAATAACATAAACATTTAAACAATAAAATTTTGTTTTTGTCAAGTTTGGCAACTTTTTCATCATGCTATGCTCTTTTTTTAGCAATCTCGTAGAGGTACCTATGTTTTGAGGGAGTTTTTTGCTCAAGGGGGACTGGACAATTAATTGCAATAAGAGAAATAATGAAATCTACATACTATATAAAAATTCTGAATGAAAATCTACAACTATCAGCCCGATATCTTCATCTAGGTCGGCGATTTATTTTCCAGCCAGATAATGATCCCAAACTTACATCTAAATCAGTGACTGTGTGGCTTCAGAAAAAGAAGATTACAGTTCTGCCATGGCCTTCAATGAGTCCTGACTTGAATCCTATTGAAAATCTATGGCAAGAATGGAAAGATTGAACAAATCATCAGTCACTAAAAAAACCTTTAGACAGATTGGAGTAATGGATAGCAGCTCAGATTGAGGAATCGGAGAGCCAAGTTCAAATTCCAGTAGAATCCATTACGTTCACTTATGTGCTAATACCCTTGGGAATGAATCCTCTTCTTCTCCCCTCAGCTATGGGTAAATAGCAGAACAGACCAGGTTCTATAGCCTTAGATGGCAACTGGTCTACCACAGAAAGAAATGGCAACCTACTGCAGGAAAAAATCTGCCTCGTCAGTCATGTATCGAAAGATACATGTTTGCCTATGCGTGTATCATGCATGGCACATAAATGACTGAACCATTGAAGAATGGAAGAAAATCTCAAAAAATATGTGTTCAAATCTCATCAAAAACTTTAGAAAAAATTGCATCAAATTATAAAGATGAGAGGCGGTACTATTGACTTAATATTGTGAAAATTGTTCATTTTTTTCTATATTTCATACTGTTTTAATAATTTTATCTTTTCCTATTTTGCATAATTTGCCTGTGAAATTTGTTGTATTTATCCTATTGTTCTGAAAATTGAGTTTTATATTCCTTTTTTTTTTTTTTTTTTTTTGGTGTTTATTAACATTAAAAAACCTGATCTCATACAGGCATTAGATTCTGAGAAATGGATAAAAATATTCAAAATAGATGAGTGTACAAATAATTTTGTTGTTGACTATATATATATATATATATATATATTCTCTTGTCAAGAACGGTGGATGAGAGTTCAGTTAATTCTAAGTTTTTACTGAACAACCTTCACAAGTGAATTGGTTAAAGTGATCAATTGCCTGCACTCTGCAATGCACACTCTCTCCATCATAGCTTCGTGCCCCATATTGGTGCACTGTGTGCCACATGTCAGATGATGCTACAGGTGCAGGCTTTTTGGACAGGAATTTTCTATCTCCTAGCTGCATGCTGGGAGCTGGCTCCTATGAAAAGCTCGTCCACCCTTTGCCAACTGGTCTGAATATCATGTGGAAACATTGGTTCTCATCTGATCACCAAAGTTAAGCAACATTGAGCCTGGTCGTTACCTAGATAGGTGACCACTTGGGAATGCTGTAATCTTGGGTGTGCAAATGGTGAATCTCTCCCCAGCTATGGGTTAAATAGTAGAACAGACTGAGTTGTTGATGAGGAAAAGGAGATATATAAATGTATTTTATGCACATATAGATAAAACATACAGCAAATAAACAAAATATATTAACATTAGACAAATTTTATATTCAAGTCTGTTTAATATAATAAAAAAAAACACAAACACACATAAAAATTTCAATTTAACTCTTTATATCATGTCACCTTAAATGACTTGAAATTGATTCCATTAAATGTGATAATGTTGGAATTAAAAAACAGTTGCGTAACTACACACAGAAAAATCTTTGAAAAAGAATGGAGCAATATTCGAAAGTACTCAAGGAAAAAATAATATAAAATAAAAGTTAATATTAATTTTATATATATATATATATATATATATTGCTATTTAATTTTACAAAGGGCTTTACATATGTAAAAAGCATGTGATCTTAGTTTTTTTAAATATTTAGTGGAAAAAGTTATGTTGCCATTTCCCACCTTACGTCTCTTGTTGGGACCAAGAAAGAAATGAGTATATACCAGAAATGGAAAAGAATGGAGCAACATTCGAATGTACTCTGGTGGGAGAAAATAATATAAAATAAAAGTTTAATATGAATTTTGGCAAATTTAATGATGAAAACAAAACAACATATTCAGAAATTTGAAAGATTTCATAAAAATTTGATAGATAGAACTTATCCATATTATTTAACAAACGTTCCAAGAGATATATATATATATATATATATATAATATATATATATATATATATATATATATATATATATATATATATATACATAAATATATTATGAAATGGACAAAGTCTGACAATTATTTTAAGACATTTTTATGTTTATAGATACAAATTTTTAAGTAAATGCTCTGTTTATAATAAACAGTATTAAACAACATTTACCAGCCTGAATGTCTGAGAAATTTTCACAGAAAATATTCGTCCTCCTACAGGATTCAAATCTGTATCCTATATGGAACCGTCATTTAGCTTCATGGAAGACTGAAGTTTAAATACAGTAAATTTGACCTTGCTAACCGAACACTCTGTGGCCAAATCGGTAAAGGCATGTCAAGCTAAATGACGGTTAAGGCATAAAAGTGAGAGTCATCATGCAGTGTTTGTGTGCATGTGCACATATATATATATGAATGGCAAAGCATCAAATTTTGGTGAGAATGTCTTCTTGGTTGGGCTGAGAACATTTCAGCTTCTCCTTGTACATATGTGCATACATAAATCAATTGATTTAAATTTATATATTTGTGTGTGTATTTTCACAAACCTCTCATTCTCTCTCAATATATACTACAGTTCAATATATCTATCCATATATATATATATATATATATATACACTACAGTTCTATATATATATATATATATATTCACGAGAGTTCTATATATATATATATAATATATATATATACAGTTCTATATATATATATATATATATATATATACTACAGTTATATATATATATATATATATATATATATATATATATATACAGTTCTATATATATATATACTACAGTTCTATATATATATATATATATATATATATATATATATATATATATACTACAGTTCTATATATATATATACTACAGTTCTATATATATATATATATATATATATATATATATATATATATATACAGTTCTATATATAGTTCTCTCTCTCTCTCTCTATATATATATATATATATATATATATATATATATATATATATATATAATTTACATGTAATGGAACACAGTACCCCATATGGATTGCCATCTCATCATTCCTTACAGGGGCTTTTCTGCACAAAAAAGAAGAAAAACTTCTCTGTGTTGAAAAGCCCCGGTAAGGAATTTTTCTTACAGGGTGAAATGGCCATCCATCTGGTGTATTGAGTTTCATTATATATAAATTATGTTTGCCCTATGATATATATATATTATACCCACACACATATATATACACTATAGTTCAAAATTTTGAAGCCACCCTCAGAATAAGCATGGGATGAACTTGACAGAAGGATGAAAAAAAATTAAAAGAAGCTCTTAGAAACATAGAAAAAAGAATGGAATCAATTATCAGATTTATATTTTAAGAAACTTTTGCAATGAACGCCAAAAATTTGTGCTGCAGTAATTAAGGCTAAAGGAGGATATTTTAACAAGAGCAAAATTTAATCATAAAATGACTTTTTTCTTTTTGTCATAATAAAATTTCTATTAAAAAATCATGGTTCAGTTTTTTTTAACCATGTATGATAGTTTTCTCTTATTTAAAGAACAAAACAATTATTTTGGGGTCAATTTAAAGAAATCTTCAAGAGTAGCCTCAAAGTACAGTAGTGTGTGTCTAGATATAAAATTAAAAAAATAATTTATTTTGTTCTTTGTAAATGGTAATAGAGAGGAAAATTCCAGATAAGATACCATGTAATAACTCTTTGTTAGCAATGACCTTTGTGTCAGCATTTGAGATTCAAAGAATGTAGACTGAACAAAGGAAAGAAAATGTGAACAATGAATGAAAGTCTTGCTAAATTTAACCATGATCAATATGGACCAACACCTGCTTGAGATGTGATTGTAAATTCAATACAATGAGGGAGAGTAAAGAACTCTCAAGATATAAGAAAAAGCTGTAACATATATATATATATATATATATATATATATATATATATGAAGAAATATTGTCTTAAGATGTGCTATATTTATGGGATAAAGTGCTCAATATCAGAGATAGAGCGTGTGTAAATATAAAAGTGAACATAGAAGTCAACACTTAGAGGCGACAGTCTGTTTCATGCTAGATGCAATCATCAGGCCTCCCTCACAATAAGTGTATAAAAAAGAAAAATCAAAAAATATGAGCAGTAAATTGCTGATATATTCCCTGAAGAGTGGACGGACAGGTCCACCTACGAAACTCTGGAGTTAGAATGCTGATGGTAACATCATTCATCTAAATGACAAACTTTTACTTGTATTTATTCTCTCTCTCTCTCTATATATATATATATATATATATATATTTTGGATTCGAGAATAAAGCAACATCTACCCCCCAGGATTTTGAATCCATCTGCCAGGAAGAGCCAACTAACCAATAGTTCTGGCTCTGCTATTGCTATGCATATAATAAATAGTAGGAAATGTATGGTTAATTTTAGTGTGGACCATTTTTTGATTTTATCTAGGTCCCACTCCAGATTTCACCACAAGGTTCTAGAGTCCTTGTATATCAGATCCCATGGGTCTTCCCTTTGTAAACAGAAGGAATGCTTACTGGGTCTGAATGGAATTGGACTCTAGTTTCTTGAAATTCAGTTTTTTTTTTCTTCCATTCCATTCCATTTGTTAATTTACTTTACATCCTTTTATAAATTTTCTTATGCCTTATAAAATTGGTCTTTTCCTAGCTATTATTAAATTCTGTACCACAAAAAAATTTTATATATATATATATATATATATATATATATATATATAAAGTGTGCACTGAGGTCAAAACCTAGAGGTAACAGCCTATTTCATGTTTGAGTGCAATCTTCAGGCCATGTGTGTTGTTTGGTGGCTCGACTATTTATATATGCTGAATGTTGGTGCACTATGGGTAGCAAGGTCAGTTATTTCCATTTGATTGTATTATCCTAAGAGCTATTGATGAAGCAGTAAAGTTTATATCTCAAATCCTTCTAAAGGCTTCTTAAGTAAAAAATACTTGTGGATCTGGATACAGTTATTTACAGCTAATGTATAATGTTGTTTGTTAACTTTTAATGTAATATTTATTATTGATTACTTAGGGCATTGTGCCTTTCTGTGCAGTAAATAAACAATAATGAATAAATAAATAAACACTCCTAATGTTGATGTTAAAACCACAAGTCTCAGTGTATTCAATTAACTAAAGGTTGATTATTATTTTTTGCTTTTCAAATACAAATAAAACTTGAAATTTAAACATTTTAATTATTGATTTTCAAATTTCAAAACTAAAGTTTTGATGTCATGCTTCTAAACCGCTCCACCACCACCAATAGTAATTTCTTCTTTCTTAAATATCTATTTAAAAAGAAACCTACAAGGAAAGACATTTTTCACAAGAAATTTGAATCCAGATAACTCTATAATTATGTTTATAATTAATAACTACAGCTTTATTGTTTGACAGTTGGACATGTTGCTTTTTGTTTTTGTAAAGTTTATTTTTAACTTTCTTAAAACAAAATGTAATATAGTTGTGTTAATTGTCGTTTGTTGTAAATTTTGAATGAAGTTCTTTGAGAAAAATTACAAAGAAATGAGAATTTTTGCTTCTTTAAAACTTAATTTGTTTACAACTTTTTTTTATTAAAATAATAATTTAAAAATAAGATACAAGAACTTAACTTTAACTTAGATAAATCGATTTTATTTGCTTGAAAACAATAGAGTAATTTCAGGACTTATTCACAAATGAATGAAGTTATTTTTTTTAGAAAATCTTGGTAAAAAATTATTTTTTTTTTTTTACACCCAACTTAATTTCAGGAAATTTTGGGAAATTAAATTGCAATCTCAAAATTTGTTTTATTAGTTAAAATAGAACTCCTTGGAGAATGGAAATGATCAATTCTTTTTATAAAAGTTAACCCAGTTACTGAAAATCTATTCTGAATTGTAAAATAAAAAATGCAGTAAAACTGAAATTATTTAATTAGAAAAGCTTTTAATTGCTTTTATAAGATTTAATAAGGTCACTATTGTCTTAAGAAAAAAAATTGTTTTGATGAATGATGAATTTTTATAAGAATTGTTTTCATTTTTAAAAATAAAAATTAAATAATTTATAATATTTAAAATTCTGCATTACTTCAATTCGATTGAAAGAAAGAATATTAAAAACTGTGAAAAGTTGTTCACAGGTTGCTGATACTCATGGACAGGCCTCAGTGGAGAGAGGTTTT